TGATATCTGTATACCATATGATAAATAACAGTACAGTACTGATCTAGAAACAAAGTTATATTTGATATCTGTATATCTTATGATAAAAAACAGGACAGTACTGATCTAGAAACAAAGTTATATTTGATATCTGTATATCTTATGATAAATAACAGTACAGTACTGATCTAGAAACAAAGTTATATTTGATATCTGTATATCTTATGATAAATAACAGTACAGTACTGATCTAGAAACAAAGTTATATTTGATATCTGTATATCTTATGATAAATAACAGTACAGTACTGATCTAGAAACAAAGTTATATTTGATATCTGTATACCTTATGATAAATAACAGTACAGTACTGATCTAGAAACAAAGTTATATTTGATATCTGTATATCTTATGATAAATAACAGTACAGTACTGATCTAGAAACAAAGTTATATTTGATATCTGTATACCTTATGATAAATAACAGTACAGTACTGATCTAGAAACAAAGTTATATTTGATATCTGTATATCTTATGATAAATAACAGTACAGTACTGATCTAGAAACAAAGTTATATTTGATATCTGTATACCATATGATAAATAACAGTACAGTACTGATCTAGAAACAAAGTTATATTTGATATCTGTATATCTTATGATAAATAACAGTACAGTACTGATCTAGAAACAAAGTTATATTTGATATCTGTATACCATATGATAAATAACAGTACAGTACTGATCTAGAAACAAAGTTATATTTGATATCTGTATATCTTATGATAAATAACAGTACAGTACTGATCTAGAAACAAAGTTATATTTGATATCTGTATACCTTATGATAAATAACAGTACAGTACTGATCTAGAAACAAAGTTATATTTGATATCTGTATACCATATGATAAATAACAGTACAGTACTGATCTAGAAACAAAGTTATATTTGATATCTGTATACCATATGATAAATAACAGTACAGTACTGATCTAGAAACAAAGTTATATTTGATATCTGTATATCTTATGATAAATAACAGTACAGTACTGATCTAGAAACAAAGTTATATTTGATATCTGTATATCTTATGATAAATAACAGTACAGTACTGATCTAGAAACAAAGTTATATTTGATATCTGTATACCTTATGATAAATAACAGTACAGTACTGATCTAGAAACAAAGT